GACGATAAATTCACCTTATATCCGTCTTATGAAATAAAGGCCCGTGTGAGTGGTTTTCGTATTTCAATTTCATTTTTCGTATTCCGTTAACCGATATAAAGATGTTCGGAACCAAACAATAAGAACTCATTAATGTGCTGCAGCAATGTAATGGGAACAATTAAATTCCATCGGTTATGTGATGGAATTAATATCCCTGCGGAACCACTGATGACAAATTCCAAGTCCCTATTTTTTAAGTTTACACATAAGGCCAGTTTTACTACACCACCTTATTACTACATTAAATAAATCTTCCTAATCCTTATTTTGACGTTTTAGAATAACCTGTAAACGCCCTTCGAACAAACATCAGAACATGTCAAGGGCGTTAACTGGATTACCAAAAACGACCCAACTCCATGGAAATACGCGTCTTAATTGCTATTTAACACGAAAAACAAATTTAATCAACACGCGACTCTAACGAAAATAGCCCTTCTTTCAAGGTGTGAAAGTGCATGTAGACTGTGCGTTAATTAATCTGAGTTGTGTAGCGTTTGGTTGTTTAATTGTCGGAATAGTTATTCTTAGTGATATAGTAATCCATCATGGGTTCTTGGAATGGGTATGAGTAATGGAGTGTTACGATATCGAAGTGGCTCTAGACCTAGTTCTGTCAGTTGTAAGAACGAAGTGTTTAATACATTGTTGTCTGTGTAAATTGTACAAATAGCTTTCATATCCTTTTACTTAAACACTTTTTAATTGTATTTTTTCTTCAAATCACTAGAACTATTGACTTACCGACAGGACAGACCGACACACAAAGTTAAACTTTTTGAAATAAATGAGTTAACTTTGACTACTTACTTAGTTGGATCATTTTTAGATCATTACGAAAATCTACATATAGATAATTGAACAAACACATTTAAAAATAATAATCATAAATCATACGGAAGACAGAACTAAATCCAATACAAACAGATTTGTAACCACAAAACATAAATTTCACGTAATAGGAAAACCACACAACACAAACTGTGGCCCGATATTATTGGTCTACACTGTACCTAATGGACTGACGTTCCCGTTTTGTCGCAAGTCCAAACGACGGAAGTGGGTCAATATTGCTCGACCACAGTGTACCCGTTTGACATTACTTTAACACTAATTCATTCTTTGCGGTGCACTGGTACCGTATAGGCTTATTTGGATCCAAGTAGGTCATTTAGACGATGTCTAGGACCTGTTAGTTAAACTGGTAAGCTTCTGAAGCTTGATGATTGGGTCACTATTTATTCATTCATCATTCATTCATTCATTACTATTTACTCTCGCGCGGTTTCACCCGCTGTTCGGCTCCATTTAATTCTAGCGTGATGTTTTAGCACTCGGGAACATTGTAGCTATCTATCAGTGAAAGAATTTTGGAAATCCGACCAGCGGTTGCAAAGATTACCCCCTACATACAAACTTACAAATTTTACCTCTTTATAATATTAAGTATAGTATAGACAAGACCTACTGAAGCGTGTGTTTAGAGCCTTAGTTCGGTAAGAATGAGACCTCAACAGGAGTAATACGATGGCCTCAATATATTTAGCTGTATGAGGTTCCTGGAGGTCCATTCTTTCCCGGCCTTCCCAAATTACCAATTTCTATACCCACACAGGCCGGCAACCCACTTGGTAACTCCTGTACGTTGCAGGTGTCCATGGGTGGCGCCGCTCGCTTATCATATTTGTGATCCATCTGGTCGTTTGCCAACCTATCTCATAAAAAAGCTTATTTTTGTTTTGAGTCTTTTTTGCGGTTATGTAAATACTTTTTTAAAAACTTGATACCTTGTTCGTGTTAACAATGATACACGGGTGATTCTTCACATCAATTAAAAAAAAATTATGATGTCATTATCCTCAACCGAAAATTAACGAGTCTGCTGATTAAAACACAGATAATTATTTTATTAAATTAAATCTCACCACTGCTTACAAGCAACCGATTGAAAATATTGTATAAAATAAATTACTAAGATGCTTAAAAACCTGGGAGGATAATGACTTGTTAAATAAAAGTTAAGGTTTTTTGGAGAATCACCCACACAACTTTACACATTGCATTCATGACGAGACCATCTGGTCATGGCTATTACACGTTCCTTACAAAAAAGTGTCTAGCCAATTAATCGGACACCTAAGTGTTGTTAACTAACCGTAGATCAGTTCATCAATTTTTGTCTAATACAAATTATTCTTCTTTTGGAATGCATCTTAGTCGTGTTTTTCCTTTAAAAATAGCGTTGCCCTGCAGTAAGGTTTTCTACCGTGTCATAGGTGCGTTTACAAACATACAAGTTCACATACCAACCCGACCCGAAACAACAATTTGTACATCACATAAAGTGTTGTTACGAGTACGTGCGACAATCGAACGCCAACCTTACAATCTAAAAACAAAACACTCCTTTTTTCGGCAGTTGTGTTAGAATTGAGCATGTGCTCTCAATCAAACTTATTCCAATAACAACAGATTTAAAGTTTACAGCACATTAAGTTTAAGGCACTAAATGAACCGATAGATTAAATATCGGAACTGAACGTAAGCACAGAAGCGTTTCAATTAAATTATTGACATCATATACTGACTGACCACGCAGCCGTAGTAAAAAACTAAAGAATAAACTATAATATAGTCGACTGATGACTAGGATATCCATGATATCATCTAGACGCCTATTTATAATCACCTTCCTATTTTAATCATCGTGACGGGACATCCAGCCCACGTCCGCGACTTCCGTCGTGGTTTACTGACCTTATGACGTCACAAGCCACCACCACCACCATTGTTTGCGACACAATGGCCTTATATCAACTAATTTGTCAATGGTGAAATTTTCTGTACTAATTACGCAATTTGTCGGTTCGTGATCTTGTCAGCGTTTTTTTGAAGATTGTTCCAGAAACTGCTTATATCTTTTTTGACCTAGATTGCAAAAAACTGTATTTCCTACTAGCGGCCCGCCCCCGCTTCGCACGGGTGTAGCTATTTTGCTAACAACAAAAGGGCCACTTTTTCCGAATTCCTCCCCCCCCCTCCCCCCAACATTTCTAATTTTTTTATAAGAACCTTCTCCGGACAGTACTAATAACAGAATTGGTCCAGGCGTTCTTGACTTATGAGCTTACCAACACATTTTGCTATTCATTTTATATATAAGATTAGGGTTTTAAAGAAAAAGACTTTGTTTTTGTGGTGTTGGTCATTTGTCTTTGTTTCTTGGTAGGTCCTTATTATTTGGTGGTGGTATCATGTGTGCTTCAAATAACACGAAATCTTTTCTTAAAACTAAATGTTATGTAGGTTAGCTAAGCAATAATACTCTCCAAACAATATCGGGTATTATCATTTGAACACAATAATCCACGCTATAAAAGAAAATAAAACAATAAATGCGGTAGCATTAGAAATTAAACTCATTTATCATTATTATCATTTTATTTATAACAAAACATGTTGGAAAGGAAATAAAAATTCATTGAGTTTCATTTGTTCTGCAATTAATAATGCCGCGATGAAAGAAAACGTGGTATACAATTATGTTAAGATGAATAGTATAAAAATGTAAAAAATATAGCTCAAAGTTTTTAAATCTCTTATAAGAAGGTACATATTTGATGCCATGTACCTAACAGGCAATACAACTAAAAGCTGTTCTTAAGATTCATGTGACCACTGCGCCACCATAATTATTATTAACTAGCGGCCCGCCCCCGCTTCGCACGGGTCCAACTATCTCGCTATCAAAGGGTCACTTTTTCTTAATCTTCCCTTCTAGTTTTCTTATATTTTCTTTGATAAGAACCTTCTCCTGACAATAAAACACATAACAAAAAAAGAATCAGTAGATTTGGTCCAGGCGTTGTTGAGTTATGCGCTTACCAACAGTTTTATATATAAGAAGATCAATCAGGGACAATTTGGTTATAGCAAAACATTTTCTAACTTGCTACACAACATTAAACAAATGATGTTACACTTTTTATGGGATAGGTCGAATAACATGCATACCGATCATTTGATGGTAAGCAATTGGCTTCTCGAGAAGTTGGTAGCGGGTTTCCGGCCTTTCGGGGTTTAGGTATCTGAGGATTGCGGTATTTTGGGTATAGCAGGGAAGAGTGTTCGGCCTCCGGTAACCTCACTCACATGACGAAATAACGTTGTGGTTGTTTCACGACGGTATTCTATAAGCCCTTGGTATCACTCCGATCGAGCCAGCTTTCTCATATCGAGTTATCTTTCAAATTATAAAATGTATGATGCGATAAAATCTAGTACTTAGACCATATACTTACATAGAATGCTAACTTTTAAGAAATATGTACATACCTGTATATATTAACGTACATAATGTACCTAACGCCTAGCATGTATAATTGTATGTGTAGAATAAATCAACGCTATGTAAATTGCCTGGTACATAACAGCTTGTATGTGTGTAACTATGCTATGTTGATTAGGTGTAACCACATAGCTTAAGCGGTATAGATAGGTCATATATTAAAAATAAATTGTTTTGTATTTCTTGACCTCTTAATATTTAAATTGTATTCGTGTTTTTTTTTTTACATTGGTGATGGACAATATTTTGTTAGTTATACAATGTACTCACCAACGTCATATATAAACCTATATGGCAAATAGTTCGTACATATTAGATTATCCGGTACATTTGACTATTAAGAAATTGTGAAGGTCGTCATTTGTTTTGTATAATAACTCGTCCCTAATATGATCACTTGTACTTACTCAACAAAACAGGTACACAATAGGAAATAATTTAGTTAATTCAAGTTTTAAAATTACACTTTAGTGCAAGAAAAACTTCACCATAACAAAGTATCAAATAAAAACTTAACAGCACCTAGTTGCATCTGTTATGCGAAACTAACCCTTAAAGCTTCACTTTTATATGCTAACAGTAACTAATGTTGTTTGTACAATGATTTCAGGGCGGCATCAACAACAAATGTGATGTTCGCGTCTGCGCCGCTCACGAGACGCGCTTCTGCGTTGCAATTAGACACTTCAGACACTGACAATAAAGGTAATTTTAGTAAAACTGTCATTCTCTTTATCTCAAATTATTTACTATGTAAATTCAAAAATAAAGATTGATTCAGTACTGTGAGAGTTGTTATATTAAGGGCTGATTTTAAATGTTACCTGATGAATAAAATTGTTGCTGTCACTGTCTTAAACAAACATTCTGACGCGACAGCATCATTTTCCCAGATAACTTTTATCTAACCATTGAAAAATCAGCCCTAAATTGTGTACAAAATCTTAACGAATTCTATAATTTGACCGGCTTAGTAGCCATCAATGGTAACAATATTTGTACTACATTTATCTTTATTTTCTTGCCTACCGAATAACTAGGCTCACTGTATAATAATTGAAGTAGTTATTCCTAACTTCTAGTCTAAGTCTTTCTTATTTCTTTTTCTTCTTCGCGTCATTTGGCCTTAACCTTTATTTTGAGAAATAGAGGTTATGTCAAATGACCCGATTCTGGCACAATTCTTTATCATAATGTAAAGAAAATCATGCATGCTCATCTGTGAATATTTGATCCATCTAAGAGATATGTACATAATTCAATCTAACTATGTCTTTATTTTTCATCACGTCTGTCTAAGAGCTGAATTTTCAATAGCAAGATAAATGTTATCTAAGGAATAAAATTGTTGCTGTCACTGTCTTATACAAACATTCTGACGCGACAGCATCATAATTATTACCCAGGTAACCTTTATCTAACCATTGAAAAATTAGCCCTTAGTGTAATATAATTTTACCATATGCAAAAAGTTATTAAAAGAACGACTGATCCTTTTAATATCTTTTGCGTGGTAACTGTATCGTATCATTTACTATGCTATGCTTTCTAACATAATTTCTCTTCATTCATGCTGCTATAAAGGAGCTGTGATGTTCATGAGTTTCTGTAAGTATTTTCATCTTTAATTCCATACTGAAATGCAAGTAAAATGGTCAAGCACATAGCCAATACGCTTAGACGCCCAAATTGATTGATCCAATGAGACTATTCATGTCATTGGATATATCAGTGCCACCTAAATAACAAAAAAAAATTACAGTATAAAAACTTTTTTGTCACAAAAAAATTGGTTGCTTCCAACCTTGTACAGGTACAAAACTATCATGATGATGATATCTCAAAGTACAAGACCTTAAAACAACATTTAAGACTAATTTTACTTGCATTATCATTACACTTATGGCCGAAATAATCGTCCCCACAATAATTACCTTTTACACAACTGAGTCATACGTAATTCGCTTCGCTATTGTATTGAGATCGGGTACGTCGCGACCTTGCACAAAGATTAAGAAAAGATTATGCTAATTCGCTGTGTAAGCCGCGTCCAGGCATAATACTTTGATCTCTATGTCTCTTGTGAGAATGTGAGAGTTTTTGCACCGCTAGAGGCGCTAGTGTCGCGTTAAGTCTATTAGCTGATAGAATGTGTGCAAATGTTAAGCCATAACACGAGTCAATTTGGTAAACTAAGCTGATTGGTCTACTAAGACTTTAACGCTTCACTGCGACCAATATATTCCTTATTCTGTCGTACTGTACGTATTTTTTTGCATTCTTCTTAATGATAGTTGTAAATCATCATCAAAAGAAGACATGCAACTCTGACTTTGAGGGTAAATAGGAAAGTCATATAGAAGTTTTGGTCATAATCTTTTTAACCTAAATATCTTCTAAAATGATATCCCTTGTCATCTACTATTTTCGTATTGCAATTCATGGCTAAAAGGTCGATAATCATTCACAAAATGTTTAACCACTAACATTTAACACAATACCAAAACTAAGTGAGAATATGTATATCTCTGTACAAAGCAACATTGGTATATTCCAGATGAGCCGGAGCGCAGTCCGGCGCCGGTGATGTGGTCGTCGGTGGCGCGGCGGCGCACGGACCTGGTGCCGACGGTGCCCGCGCCGCGCGCGCCAGGTAGGGCCTACTCCATGACGCGGCTCGACCGGCTGCCCGCCAGCCGCCCGCTGCACTCCGCCTCGCCCTCCATGCATCACCTCAACAGGGCTCGTAAGACCTTCAACTCGCGTATCCAGCTTGGTTTCTGCGTTTTAAGTCTGGGTGCTTCGCTTCTCAAGGTTTAGGGTGTGTTAATCGCTTCGCTGACGTGTTTTGTGCTATCAATTAGCGCTGTTCTTAATTGTGGGTAACGCTTGGCTCTTTTTGGGTGTTTTTGCGTCCAAAGACTAGGGGAAATATATTAACCAACTCCAGAAATTGTCCTTTTTCGGGGTTTAGAAACATACAATTGAATTTGTCTAAAAATGTTCAACGGGTCTCTGAGAGTTATCCTCGGTCCCTCGTATGCTTTCCAAGGTCCCGATCCCAGTCCCAGGGTCCTGTATCTCGTTTCCTTAGCCCCTGGAGATACATAGAATGTATTAGCAGGTAATAAAAATAAAATCAGGAGGTGCTTCGCTTCGCGTTTTGTGCCTCTATATGCCAAAATTTTTGTATGTTCTGTGCTCTTCACAAAACCATAATGCCTACAGAATGCTTAGCTCAAATGAGTCATAGAAATGAGATGGTGTTTCTAATATATTTTTCGACAATAAGGATGAATTTAACTGGTTTTATGAGTGTGTAGTTGCTACCATTAAGCGTACAGTTTGACCAAAATATGGTCCTAATGTGTGATTTTAATTTAATTTCTTCTAAAATAAGTAAACTAGCTCTTCAACAAAATAAACAAATTTTCTAGGATTAGAATACAATTTTTGTCCTCTGGCAACTCTATCGCGTTTGCTTATGAGTGTTGCCAAGGGTTGTGGTTTTGTCAAATTTGAAATTTGTTTTGTTATCGCTTTTGGGTTCACGCTACGTAAATAAAATGTTAACAGCAGGGTTGTCGCTAAACACGCATATAACGGCTTGATTATACTTTTATTATTGGAAAAATATGTCACTAACACTGTTTAGTTTTAAAATGGTATGATTGTCACTAACATTTTGGATATTTTAAGAACTGTAGGTATGACAATATTGTCTATAACATTTAAGCACGGCATTATAAATAATATAATTGAACGCTAGATGGCTGGATTTTATTATATAAGCTCTGAAATTTATTTTGGAATAAAAGGTTATTTACACAAGAATAATAGCACTGCCTTATTATCTAGATCATTCTGTGAGTTTCTCTCACAAATTGGCTGAATTTTAGTATCTAAAAATACTTTATTTTGTGAATACACTGTTCTAGGGCACATATCTAAGTATCTTCTATATTTTCAAAATTATCGGGTCCTTTTAATTGGCTATCAATATTCACATCTTTCTAAATTTCTCGTTCCGCACTGGGTCGCTTGGTTTGGGTATCATTTCTCTTCCATTTTGGTCTTTATTTCATACAGCGTTAGTCTTACTTTTGAAAACAGCGGGCTAAAAGGTATTTATCGCTACCTTCTTATTTCATGATAGTTCTTGTATTTGCTGGTTTATGAGAAGAGAGCTCTTTGAAAACTAAAACTAAATGATTACTTAAAAATAAATGAGAAGTTGTGATACCTGCGATATCCGACTTACCGAATGTCGTAATATGGAACTTTATTCCCATACTTCATATTTATATATAAATTAATATTATGAATAATTTACCTAAATATCTAAGTAATTTAAATAAATCTTTGAAATGGGCAATCATAAGTCATAAGATACAAGAGCTATACAAAACCTCGGTCTAGTAACCCTAAGGCGGTGTTGCCAGTCTTCTAAAAAAGGTGAGTCCCACTAATCGCTTTGCTTTCTAATTGAATGTGTACATGCACTTCCCTTCATCACGCACTTAATGCACTCAAAATGTACACGAAATTATAAAGAAACGATTTATTTGCATTATTTTCAAATGATATTCGAAATTTTGTAATGGGAAAAATGTTTATTTGTAAAAAATGTGTACACAATTTTTAAGGCTACATTTAAATAAATGAAAATTGACACTAAAGTATCAAAAAGTTTTAAAAATAAATTATTATTATTATTCTATGTCTCATCATCATCATCATTCATACTATTTTTGTCACTGAACCGACTTCCAAAACAAGGAGGTTTCCATTATTTATAGTACACATTATTAATTTTATGACATTATAAGAAATTCCTGTACATTACAATACACTATCACTATCTATTTATTTTGTCTTATAATTCGCAAGCATCTAGAATATTCAAAAATTTTATCCTTCTTTTTCACTTTGGTCTATTGGGTAATTAAAGCTAACATCTACTTTTCTTACATACCATATTTTTTCTCTATGCACCTATCTTGGTGTAGATTTCTTAATAACTCGAACTCTGTGTCATGTCTTTCCATGATATATCAATAGTATACTGTCTCTTAACATAACAAAGTGTTACCAATCCGTGTACACAGTCTACGGTTAAGGGCTCCGCTCTGGCTCGAAACTTGTCGAGAATTCCTGTCACACAACATAAGTCTAATTTCACTTGCGTTGTAAAACTGAGCTCTTCAGAGACGGAGAATTAAGATTTTTTATAGGTACATAATTATTACACATAGCATTATTTACTGAGTTTGATGGAACATGTCATTAAGGAACTTTATCAATGATTATTTAGGATTTTATACATTATATATTATATGTTACACATAACATAACAAGAGCACAATATAACAACGGAATATATAACTAACATATACATTTCATCATCATCCCTTCTCCCGGCTGTAAATAGTACTATGCACAGAACCGCGGTCGGGCGACACGACCCCAGGCTCGAGGCCGGGGAGTGCACTCTCCAACGCGACCGCAGTACTGCGCCGACCTCACTCCGCGCCGAGGAAACCACGCCCCGCCTCCATCGCAGGCACCGGTGTCAATACGCCTAGAGGTAACTATACAATCGAAATTAAGCCTTATCTTCTTATCAATGAAGTTTATTCTTCATTGATATGTTTTGGACTGTTACTACTTTAAGAAGTGTGACGATATTTTTACTGATGTTTTGTTAGAATTTGTACTTAATTCATTAACGTTTTAGGTCTAGTATTGATTGTAATTTGACGTAGTTTAGTTCTAACGTGTTTGTGTTTTGGGTTTTGTAGTCCGTTTTGCTCATAGCGGAGTGTATTTAAGCGACGCGACGTGTGTAAACTGAATTTTGAATAGTTTTGTGATAAGTTTGTCGTGTTATAATTCTTATTGATGTGTTTTAGGGTTTAATTTTGGCTGAGTGTTCAGTGTCAGCGATGTACTAACTAGTGTGCTTTTTATGTTAATATTAATGTTGTTTTTAGTGTAACCTTAATGTTATTAAATAACATTGATTTAACTTTAAAAGTATGTACCTATTTATTATGTTACAAAAAATAGAAAAAATATTAATTTAAGAAAACAGTGTTATGAGATACATTAGCAAGTGAAACAAATCACTATTAAATTTCGTTTTCACTATTTTAAATCCTTATAATATATAAACATATAATATGTACTTATATCCTTTCAAAATCATGATGTAAATGTTATCCAGTTATCAGTATATTTCCTAAAAAAATGATGATCCTGTAGTATATCTATGCATATATATAAGAAAGCCCCCGTGTCAGGTGGTGTAGGCGAATGTGTGGGTGGCAGCGCGGCGACGACGCCGAGCGTGTCCCGCGACGGCAGCGTGGTGGGGGGCGGGGACGCGCCGCGCCGCGCCACGCCCGCGCGCCGCCCGCGCCCCGCCTCCATGCACGCCGCCAACATGCATAAGACGCGTACGTACCTCAACACTACATCATTCACATTTTCTGTGCCACCGACTCGCCCAGAGAGTGTTTTCTTTTTACCCGACTGCCAAAGAAGGAGGGTAATGTTTTTCGAGTGTATGTAAGTATGTATGTATGTCTTTTCCTTTGTGACCTCCTGTAGCCTAAACGGCTTGATGGATTTTGATGTATGAGGTATCGTTAGATTTGTCTTGATTACGGGAGTGTCATAGGATACATTTTATCCTAAATGTCCCACGGGATAAAGACATAATAATATTTTTTCTAAATTTCCCTTTAAAAAAATATGTATGCGGTATCATTAGATTCATTTTAATCACGGGAGTAATTAATATAGGATACGTTTTTTCTCAAAATTCCCACGGGAACATGTTAATTCTGCGTCAACGCAAAGCAACTCATGCGTTAGCAAGCAAAAAGATAGGGCGTGGCCTGGCATACAGCTAAAAAAGTTATAAATAAAAAAAATATTATTAAAAAAACAAAATACCCGACTGCACACTAAAAAAAGAGTAAAACAAGCCCCACAATACAAATTTACTGAATATAATTTATAAATGTTGATGGAAAGCATCGCAGACGGGGACCAACAGAGGCTTATTTATAGTCATTTCTGTTGTGCACCATTTAGCAGAATTTTCGTTGGTGGCGGTCAAGGTGGTCCCCGCCTGCGATGCTTTCCATCAACATTTATAAATTATATTCAGTAAATTTGTATTGTGGGGCTTGTTTTACTCTTTTTTTAGTGTGCAGTCGGGTATTTTGTTTTTTTAATAATAATTTTTTTATTTTAACCTTGTCCCACACTAGGATTCCCTCCTGTATTGCGGTTGCGTTTATACTTAACGCGTTAATTCCACCTGCACATGACACAATTTGTGCATCACACAAAGAGTTATTCTATGCGAGAATCGAACCCTCGACACGACGCGCACGGCAGCCAGTTGCCCAGCCACCGCAGTAATCGTGCAGTTCACATCAAGTTTATTCCAGCGCCGTCAACTTGCCCGGCGAGTTCAACGTAAGGCCGCTATCCCACTAGGCGTTTTACTAGCGTTGACGTGACGTTAACGCCGCGTCGTCGCGTTTTAAGCATTAACGTTCTTGTGATAGCCTAAAAGGCACGAGAAATGTAGGCGGTATCCGAGATTGTGAAAATCGTACTAGTAATGAAAATGTTAAATCGATTCCTTGGCAACGTCAATGTTTGTCCCTCTGATTGGTTGCTTTATCGTGTTCAGGACTCTAATTAGTTGATTAATTTCAAGTCAGCCAATCAGAGCGCCAAATCTCACCAAAAGTGTCGATCGTCTGTATACAAAATAAATCGGCTATACACTATTAATTTAAAAACTAATTTTCTTTTATTTAAAAATAGATTTCAGTTATTGTCATATTGCTTACAGATTTGCGAAAATAATGATTTGATAATATGTAGTTAGAATTGTTATTAAACACATACTTTTTATATTCTTACCGGATAAAATAATTTTCACGATAAATCGATTAAATAATCGTTTCGTATATTCTCCATTTTTTTCTTTTTATGGGATAGAACAAGTAACAAAATAATATCACCATACCTTTTAGTAATAAACAGGGATCTAATCTTAATACTATTGTCGCCAGCTCCGCCAGTGACGCCGGGTGAGGGCAAGCCGCCAGTACACAGAAAGCCAAAGCCATCCAAAGAACACGATAAGGTATGTTGTTGTTTTAAAAATAACCTTCATTTCATATTTCTGATTTATTTATGGATCTTTTCAGAACAGATTATAATATTTAGGAACTCTTGTTAGTCATAGAAAGAAAGAAAAGTTAGTTTTACTAAGCAAAAAAAATGGTAAAGCAGACTAAGAATAATAGTAAAAAATACTATTCATTATTTTAAACATACTATATTGAAACCTGCATATATTATACCAAACCCTTATTATATGTAGGAGGTAATGTAAGGAAAATTGTTCTCCAAAATAAAATGTTGGCGTTGAAACACCAATATGGAAGAGAGTCTATAATTTTGGTAGATAAATATACTTTGGGACTTTTTATAAAACACCGTTCGATCGTACCCCGCAGGGCGCGCGAGGCAAGTCGCTGTCAGCGTCCCCGGGCCGCACGCTGTCTCCCTCCCCCGCCCAATCCAAGGACGCCAGCGTCGACAAGGAAATCAGCAAGGTAATTATGCATTTTCACTTTTAATATTATTCATCATCATCATCCTGTTTGCCTCCACTGCTCGACCTTTCCAATTGCACGTCATGGAGCTCGATGTACAGAACAGAAGAATCTAAACGTTTTCTTGAGTGGAAACAGATTTAGTAAAGGGTGCGGGTCCTCTAGGTAGACTGATGATATCTGTAGGGGTGGCTGTAACACAATTATTCAACTAACATATGAATGATATGTCGCGGCGACGCGCGCCCGGCCTGCATATGTATCTGAATGAGTACCTGTATTTTTTTGCAAGCAAGGTTTGCCAAAAGCGACTTGTTTCTTTCTTTACAAAAAAAAAAGTTTAATTGAGACAAAAATAATTGGGATAGAGGTACTTATTAGATTCAATCTTTATATGCATATATGATTCTGCTGTACGTGTGCATGTCATCGAACTGACCTCCTTCCTCCTCCTTATCGACTTGACCGGTTTTTCTGTACGCGTGGTGCCTTTTAGGTTCACAAATCAGCCCGGCAGATGGCGCTAATTGCTTAAAAAAGCATGTGACCTCGGAAATGGCCCTAACGATTCCGCTGAAATTTGATGATGGGGGTTTTCAGGGAGGATCTGCTAGTAGTTTTATAACATTTTGTAGGCTAGTTTTGACTGTTCGAAATAACTGAATATGAAATAAATGTCGCAGCCGGCGGTGGCGGCGGCGTCGGTGGACAAGCGGTCGGTGGACGCTCAGGAAGTGACCAGCAAGCTGGAGGCTCTACAGGTACACAACGGGGACGCACTGCCGCACGATAAGGTATGCTAGCCTGCATACGGTTTTATATACCATTAGCATCCGCCCGCGTGGTATGTTGATAAAAAGTAGCCTATGTCCTATTCCGGAGTGTATCCTGTGCCAAATTTCATCCAGATCCCTTCAGCTGTTTTGGCGTGTTTAACTAACAAACATCCAAACATTAGTAAGAATTAAAAGTAGTAAGATACTTTATGGATGGAAAAAATGATATTTTGAAAAAGCCTCTAGGTCCGAATGTAATGGTTAATTTTAGTTAATTGCCATAAACGCCATGGCTAGGGACCTAAGAATAACTTTTAAGGAAAACTTCATTAATTGAAGCTTCATTATTAACAAATGCGCAACATTATATCTATATATATTTTCATACAAGATAAAAAATAGCTATAATGTTACTAATAAAATCGTATCTTCTTTTAAAGGTAAACGAAATCAAAGAAACAGTAGAAGTTAAGGAAGAAACGAAAATCGAGCAAGTAACGGAGGTAACGAAACACGAAGAGAGAGCGAGCGAGAGGTCCGAACAGAAAGACAAGGAGGAAAAGAAGGAACCCTCCGTCGAAAAGACTGAAGATAATGAAATGACCGGTGAGTTGTGGACCACTAGGGACCAATATATTTTTGTAGGGGGATTTGTATGGGTTTCAATTGGTTGTCTCTGTCACTCTTTGTTCATTTCAAAGGAAGATATGTGTGTATATTACATACATACATTTCTTGCAAGTTTTCTTTTATGTGATTGGTCGGCAAACGAGTAGATTGATGATAGAAAACAATCGGCGCCGCCTTGTATTCCCGCAACACACACGAGTGCGTCTCGGCCTTTTGGGGAATGGGATTTTGGAGATTAAGTGATTATGGAGGGATGGGAAAGGGGAAGGGTTGGGCCTCATCTACATGGCGAAACGCAACACTGTGACGGCTTCATGCTGGTTTTCTGTGGTATGACTCTGGTTCGTACCGACCTATTCATGTCGAAGCATGGCTCTGTCACACCTTAGTGTTTGTAATAATATGACGACGCTACTCAAAATGGTAAAAAGGTATTGCGTCAAAAAGCTTGGAATGAAGAAAACTTTTTTTAAACTATATATGAGATCTTCTTTGAAGATTTTAAAAGCCCACTTGTATTTTTTCTGGTACATCTTGTTATAGTACTACATTTAACGATATTTTAAATGGTGCATATGATTGCAGCGTCGATGACGGCGCGGCGTATAACGACGGAGGAGGAAGCCAAGGCCGCGCTGGCAGAGCGCCGTCGCCGCGCCAGGGAGGAACTCGAGAGGCAGGCTGAACTGGAGCGACAGAGGTATTTTACTTATTCCTCCTTATCTAAACAACCGCCTTTAAAATATCAATCTAATAAGATATGGCTATCTCGCGTCTTGTGTCCAGTATTATCTATACTATCGCTAATATTATAAAAGCATAAGTAACTCAGTCTGTCAGCTTTTTCTTCACGCCTAAACTAATGAACCGATTTCTGTGAAATTTGGTACATACAGACAGTTTGGATCTCGATAAACGACATAGGATAGTTTTTATACCAAAAATCTGAAAGAAGTCACTATACCACGCGAACGGAATCGCAGACAAAAAAGGTAATGTTAATACTAATCGGTATATACTCTAGCTCTACTGCTTAATTTATACAAAGTGTATAGGAAAGAACAAAATACACTCTACTGAGACTTTTTATGCTTTATATAAAATATCAAACATTTTTTGTCCTTGAAATAAAATGTGACAGTAACTTAAAGCACTTCAACGAAATAAAATAGAATATTTGGTTTTTTAACTGTGACTTTATGGATCTCAGAAAGCTTTTGATACTAATGCCCGGTTTCTGAAAGCCCGATCAATGTTAAAATCAAATAACTAGGTGTCAAATCTCTTGTCAAGTCATTTGATTGGTGGTTGGTAATTCAGTCAACCAATCAGATGACTTGACAAGAGATTAAACTGATTTTAACATTGTCCGTGCTTTCGGAAACCGGGTGTAAGTCAGGAACGTTAGGGTTATGAGAAATATACTCTAAGCAGTAGTATATCAAACATTCGTTTTGCAGATTGCAACGCGAAGCTGAAGAAGAAGCGGAGCGACAACGTCAGGAAGAAGAACGGCAACGTCGCGAGGAGGAGGAGGCGCGCGAACTGGCACAGCTGCAGAGGCAGATGAACGAGGAGAAACTTAGGAAGGCTATCGAGGTACTGGCACTCCAGGGGACACTGGTAGACAATGCCTAAGGCATTAACGCTTTCATTACCACTACGATTTTCACAATGATATCTCGGATGCCGCCTACATTTCTCGTACATTCTACGTATACGGGTCTCTGGGCGGGTCGGTGACACTGAATGTGTCACTGTGCATGAAGTTTAGATCAAACTTAAATTATTTCATAAGGTCTTCAAAAATGACTTATAAACAAATCATTAAATATTCGTAACTTCCTAGTCAATGATAAACTTGGCATTTTTGATAAAATATCATAGATACTCAAGAAAACCATAACCTGTAACGAGTTTTTGAGAGGCCTAATACTCCCATTTTATTCCTTATGCTTAAATTCTTAACAACACCCTATAAAGCTCAGCAACGCACTTGTTAATCCCTCTGTGTTGCTTATCTAGCCTATCCCATTGAAAGACTTAAAAATGATAAATGCTACTATTAAATTCAACGTTCCATCAAAATAAACTTAGTGAACTTAAATAAACCCAATATGACCTAGCAAAGTATTAAGAAATTTCCCCGTCAATTTTCAAGGCTCAACAACAGCTCGAACGTGAAGAAGCAGAGCGCAAAGCTCGCGAGGAAGCTGAGAGGCAGGCCAGGCTGAAGGAGGAAGAGGAGAAACGGAAGGCTGCGGAGGAGGCAGAGAAACTGCGCAGGGAGGAGGCTGAGAGGGAGGAGAAGGAACGACTCGCTAGGAAACAGCGCGTCGAGGCCATCATGGCCAGGACTCGGCTCAGGAAGGTAAGAGGCTCAAAACTGGGACTTACCAATACGATTATTGATTAACGCCCGGTTCCTATAATTGACAAACGATCCGTTTTTGTTACGAATAGTAGTTTTATATACGGCTCGTAAGCTAAAACCGTTCCTATAAACAACGTCTCGTCGTGCAACTTACTGACGGCTTGCAACTAACGGATGGGAGGGTATCGGTAAGCATATTGTATGAAGATGACAGTCTATGGTGTTCCTATAAATATTTTAACCGTCGGTAGACGGTCAAGATGACTATTCATAATGTCATTTGGTTACGTGCCGATATCGGTCGGTTAGAGTAGAATTTTTAAAGGAAGTTCACTGATGTCGCTTTTAAATCTTAAATGTCGAGTTCAGATAGTGATAAAGAAGCATTTGATATTATATCAAACTCCAGTAAAACTGATTCAGAAGAAGATAATAATAGAGGTAACAAAATACAATAGAGAAAGAGTGGATTATTTAGCTTTGCTGGATTCTTACGAATATCAAGTAAGATAGAAGAAGATAATAATAGAGGTTACAAAATATAATAGAGAAGGAGTGGATTATATGTACTTATTTAGCGTTGCTAGATTCTTACGAATATCAAGTAAGATATCGACTCGATAAATAATCATCTGAGCAGTTACTTTAAAATTTAATGAATTATCTGTAGCAAGAAAATAAATTACAAACTTATTTAGTTTTAGATGTTTCGAAGTGTGAAAACGGCGATTTACTTTGGTGGCTCTTACGAGTTCATGCTGTTAGGTATGCCTAATAGTTATAGAAGTGCTCCATAACATTTGTTCTTCGTGACAAGTAATGTTTTTTGCACCGACCATATTCTTACTGCATCACCCAAAGGTTGGCTAGCAAGAATGCTTGTTGGCATTAAGCCCACCTATGTACGTTGTGCATAAAGATTAAATAAATAAAAATAAATAATGTTGATAAAATGAAAAATTCTACGGAAAGATACACAATGATTGCAGAAAGTTTACCCATGTAACCACATTATCATCCAATGATGTATTAGTAGGTAGTACATGTACAACAAGAAGAAGGAACCTTCTCCTTTTTTGTTTATTGTCGTTACTTCAAAGGTTTTTATATTTTTCAGTTTACACTAATGTATGATGATATCAAGATAAACAGCAGTAATGAACTGATAAATATTAGTTCTCTTATAAATGTTATGAAAAATAATAAAACGAAAAAAACATAAATGTTTTATTTTACAACTGTTCGAAACATCCTAAATAGCACAAAAAAAACCAAAAACCAAACCATTTCAATGCCTCCTCATTTAAATAAAAAAACGACATTTATTCGAACTACAAACTAAATATTATTATTACAATCAATATTTTCTTTATTGGCTCCTATTTCAATATCTTAAGCTTAATGACAGAGTTTTCTGTCGTTTTATCATAGTATCTTGCAATTGGCAAATAACATTGGAGCCGTCCGTCACCTGGTTCCTTTTAATTTCTTTGGCTGTAATAAAGAAAGGTCATTAGCACATGTTTTAGTGTTACAGTAATTCCATACACGGGTCGATTTCAAATTTGGGGCCAAAAAAGTGTGAATTGCACGATATTTCAAAAATATTAAAAAAATATATGTTTATATATCTAGGTGCATTCATTAGTTAAAAAAACACATGCTAATCAAACAAACCTTTAATTTCTTCCAATAACAGGGAAAATACACATTTTTGAGTGACACGAATGAGCAATATAATTTCTCTAATGATATTTTGTGATTTTCTAATGAGATCTCTGGTAACACTAATGAAAATTAATAAATAATCAACAAAACATAAAATATTTGTTATTAACATTATTAATAGTAGGTAGGGTAGTAACATTATTGCAGTGAAGGTGGATGTGCCGGTCACCGTACTACAGATATTAATTATTTTAAACTTAATTCCAAAACAATAACTTATTCAACTAAGCTAATCAATGGTATACATTTCTGATTTCAGTCTTCAAGATTGGTTAACGCTACTCCTTTTTCATTGCGTGTACAATAACAATATCCATATTATTAATAGCTTCTTCATTAATTAATCTGATAAGGGATCGTCATCATCATCTTCACATTTTTTTAAAAAATCAAGGAATTCTTTTTCGTGATCTGTCGCTTTTGTATAATTATTTATAAAACATTTATTGGCCCAGGAGTGTCGAATACTGCGGAGACTTGAAGTTGATGGTGTGCTGTGATGTAACATTGGATCATCGGTATTAGCATAGCGAATGGTAACATCACTAAGTACCTTAATTCTTTTGTTTTCCGGGATGACCTTTACATTTTCCATTGTAGATCCAATTGGAGTATTATATATCTTAAAAAATCTCATATGTTTGCCATGTTTACAAGCGACACTTATACATTCGAAACAGCTCTGTTTTCTAAATTCTAGATAAGCAGAATCAGCTGCCCAAATGACCTGTAAGGAAAATATATGTATTATTATTACATTGTATATGGTAACATCAGTATATTTTTTATTTGTTGTATAAAATATACCTGATGAACTGTCATAGTCCCCTTGAAAGTGGCAATATCTTTAGGCAACATTAATTCCCTTAATTTAATTTCGTGCTCTTGAATAATACCCATTTCTACGTTTTTTATATTTCTTCGAATAATGTTAACAAAGGCATCAAATTCTCCGACATCCTGATGACACTTTAATTCATAATCGGCAGTCCTTTTGATTACTGCTCCAATGCCATCAGGAGCACCCTTGCCGTGCCCAGCTTCTTGATAATTCCACGTGACGAGATTTAGATCTGGGAAGTCATTCCTTAATTGAGTTAATATATAAAATATATATTTATTTCTGTACTGGCTTGTGGGACTATCTGTTAAAATGTGAATGCGATTAATTTGTTATGATCTGTTAAAAACAAATTTAATTAAATAATTTAGATGAGCCCACACTGCCGCTGCATCATGACGGGTACATTCACTGGCTGTGCAAACAGAATAGGATTGAGTAGCATTGGAATCATTTTTTAAATAAACCACTGCTGTATGAAGTGAGACTTGACCACGGCTGCCACCAAAATGCATGCTTTGTACTTCCTCCGAATATTTATAAGAATAATTTTCCGAAAAATCCATATGAACCAAGGCTTCGTTAGTAGTTAGAGATTCTTTTAAACATTTAATAGTAGCATACTGGTTGACAATGTTACTCGTGTGGGACAAAAATTTTGGCAGCATATTTTCCAGTTCAATTATCAGGTTACGAGGATCAGATCTCTTTGTTTTCTTCTTGATTATTTTTATTTCTTTCGTGTCAACTTTTTTGGTGTCTCTTTCCCATACCATGTACTGTGTTTCTTTATCGTTTCGGAATTCTTTATAAGGTACTGTTTTATTTTTACATGAAGCGCATTTGCGATTAAGACAATCTAGCCTGTATTTATCACAACAGATCCTTCCTGTATCAAATTATGACTATCTTTTACATGAAGAATATTATTCTTATTAAGAGCCGCTATTAATAAGTTAAAATTTGTGTGCAACAAGCAGGCGCACGTATCACGGTCGTCAGTCGGAAGAGAGACCCAAAATGGTCTGAGTCTTGTAAAAGTCGTGTAACTAATTTTAATGTTAGTATTTTCAGCCAAAAATTTCTTGTGTAAGTTTTTTATAGAATCTAAAAGATATCTGACTTGTTTAACGATTCCATGTTTCTTTTTATATTGTTTCTTGCCTGGAGTAATGCGACTGTTAATGTCGTCTTCGTAAAACTTTTCTACTAATTTTTGAATGTTGATGTTATTACGTGCATTCTTCTTAAATCGTTCTCGAAGATGAACTTTCCGAAGGTCAGTAGCAACCTTAAATTTTTTAAACTTCTCTTTATCAATTAACTTAGTGATAACGCGTTTGTCTTTCCTGTTTGCAGTTTTTGCAAATTTCTGTGTTATTTCAGCACTTAGAAGTCTATCAAATAATTGCTTCTTGTCTTCATTTTTTGTTTTTTCTGCTTCATTACTTATTTCACCTGTTAGTGTAGATATTTTTCTTTTTAAATAATTTAACCTGAACCTGTACCTATTTAATAATAATATATAATTTCGTTTCTCTTTTTCGTGCTGTATTTTCATTGTTTTGATTTTTTTATTAGTTTTTGTTCACGCATACTTATTTTGGGTTTTATTTCTTGGTTTTCTATATTTAAAGGATCTGTATTCATGTTAACATTTTCAATATCACAACTTTCTTCAGTTACTGCAACGTTCTCTATAATTCTTTGGCTTACTTTCTTTCTATAAAACTTTTTGGAACTCTCTTTCCATTTTCGTCTTTGAATTCTTTGCTCGCGTGGGCTCATTTCGTTAATACTTTTAATTTTTTTATTCTCCTTCGCTTTTAAGTAATATTGTCTTTTTTTTTTCTTGCTCAGCGGCATATAACTCAGGATTGTTTTTAATAGTTTGATATTTTTGTCTTCTAGCTATTCTACGCCTCTCTAATTCTTCCTCACTTTTTTGTTTTTTTGGTTTCGCCATTATTTAATACTTAATCTGAAAGTAAACAAAAAAATCATTAGTGTGACTTTCCATATAATTCGTGTGACTCGTGAATCGACACAAATGAAAGTGACACGAATGAGATTTTTGGAAGTAATTCGAATTTATTTTGTAAATAGAACGTTCTAGAATATACCGTACATTGGAAACAAAATATCCTTTAAATGGGTTGTTAAACAGCCAAATCAAAAACAAAAACACATTTAACTTTGCACAATATGTGACAAAACACTAATGATATAAATTTGTTACCGAAGTCAAAATCTTACCTGAAATTTGGAATTTCTCTTAAAATAACGCCACACACAACTGACGAGCACGCGCGTTCGGTCACGACTGAGCACACGGGACGCGCGCGGGGTAAAGGGCGGGGTAAATCAGGGAAGAATTCTATTTACTGATGCATTTTAATACGGTCACACAAATGATACTTTAAAAACC